ATTATTATTACACTTATCGCGTAAATGTTAATCTTGATTTTGACGTATCTCAGAATCCAATTTTACTCTGACGCAACTCAATTTAAATCTACGCCTCTTCGAATCTGATGCACGTAATATATATATTACACCATCTAATGCAAATCAATCTTTCTCTTTCTCAATTTACGAGTAGAGAGAGTAGTATTTAATTCAATATACACCCTAACCTTCGTTATAACGGAGTGATCGGGCTGGGAAATTCCATCCGTTATAATGAATATCCGCTATAGCATTATATGGTATAATAATGGAAATTTTAAAATGTTCTAGATAATTCCTCACTTATAATGAGGGATCCGCTTTAACAGGGCCCGCTATAACGAGGGTAAAATGTATAATTTATTGATCTATATAGATTCTTGAATTATTAGACTTTATAGTAAAATTAATATTGTTATCATGAATATATAATTTTTTCAACGTAGTGTTCTTGCAAAGTGCATCTTCTAGTGCTTTTCCTCCTTCTGATCCAAGATTATTATTATTAAGATATAAAGAAGTTAGAGTGGTGTTCTTGCAAAGTGCATTTGCTAATGTTTTTCCGACGTCCGATCCAAGATCATTAAAGCTAAGAGCCAAAAAAGTCAGCGTGGAATTCTTGCAAAGTGCATTAGCTAATGCTTTTCCTCCTTCTGATCCAAGATTATTACAATGAAGAAACAAAGAAGTCAGAGTGGTGTTCTTGCAAAGGGCATCCGCTAATGCTTTTCCTTCTTCCGATCCAAGATTATTATTGTAAAGATTCAAATATTTCAGTGTACTGTTCTTGCAAAGTGCACCTGCTAATGCTTTTACTTCTTCAGATCCAAGATTACTCGAACTAATAATCAAAGAAGTCAGCATAGTATTCTTGCAAAGTACATTTGCAATTGCCTTTCCGATATCTGGTTCAAGATTACTTGAATTAAGGTCCAAAGAAGCCAATGTGGTGTTCTTACCAAGTGCATCTGCTAATATTGTTTTATTAATAGTATTTTCAAGTTTTAAATATTTAAGATTTTTACTTGCCCGCAGGAACATTAAAATTAAAGAACACTTGATAGCATTTACAAGTTCGTCTTTTTCAAAATCATATCTTTTGTAGTTAAGCCATTTTATAACTCCATTCTTCAAATCAAAACCAACATATGTAATATAATTTTCATACTCAAATAACGGCCTTGGATGATTTGGAAGTGTGATTTTAAAGGGGATTAATAGAGCCTGCTCTTCAGCATTTAATGCTAAAAGATATATTCTTATAAGCCTTTTATCACTGAGATGATTTTTTTTAGGTTCACTCCATAAAATTGGTATGATGATTCTACACCATTGACGGTTTACAAGAAGACATGAAAATAAGGTTTTATAATTAGGTTTAAAATTATTAAATATTTCAAAAAGACATTCGTTCGGTAACATTATCATTTTGAAAAGATTATAGCGGTAAAAATCGGATCTCCTCCGGTATATTTGTACTGTAAAATGTTGTGGAACGTACCGTAAACTGCTAATGGTACGACCAGTATAAATTCACTAACTCTTAATAGTATCGGTATGTACAGTACAGAAAATATAGAACTAGATAGCTGCGCGACGTTATCGCGCAAAGCCAGGAACGGAAAACTTAAAAAAAATAAAACAGTTAATTATCAACATGACGCTGGATGATTACTTAACTCTTCAAAATACTTTTTCGACAATCAAATAAATATATATGGCATTTATTTACGCTGATTTTTATTATCGATATATAATATATCCGTCAAGTAATTATCTAAGTGTACAATACTGGTAATGATGAAAATTAACGATTTCGGTGTTTTTTTATTGAAATTAATGTCACTTCCATGTACAGCTACAAGTGACATTAACTCTGATAGAAGAAATTTTCTGTCGTATAATTGTTGCTTCCACCTCTACAGTGAATAGATGAGCATGAAATAAATTAATTTACAAAAACAATTTACTTTATCATAATAATAATAATTATTATTATTTAATCAAAATATAAAGACATGCAAAAATTACTCGAATCTAATTCAGAACATTCAAAATGGTTTCCCTTATGAAACCTGATTGGTTGAATCTACAAATTTCAGCATCATCCATCTCAGTATCATTAACACAGTTAAATAACGCTTTCATATTGTTGACCACTTTAAAGTTCATATTAAATCTGTTGCAATTTTGGTATAGTCGCGTTTACGTGAAGATTGCACCAGGCCATCAAGAGTTTACTAATTTTCCCCCACCACTTCTTATTGGTTCTACTAATTATTCTCATATCGGAGTGTCTATGTTATTAATCAATTTTATGGTACTCCGATAGTGAAGTGTGTGGAAATTAGTAAACCCAGTCATCAATAATATATGAGTGTCGCTAAAAGAAAACCCGAAAATTTAAATATAAGTCATATTTAAATTTTCGAGTTTTCTTTTAGCGACACTCATAATGCCTAATACTCAGTGGTCGAAAAAAGATCCGGAAAAAATATTATGCAACAATTTTTTCCGTATTTTAAGAATAATGACTAGATTATTCTTTCATTAAGCAAATGCTATATCTAAATATTATCACACGGTGGACGATCATTCGCAGAGTTATTTCCGGATCTTTTTTTCACTGCACTAACAAATCAATAATCAATAAATTAACAAATTAAGAATAATGTGCAATATATGATTATCATTTCTAAATAGAAAATTTAGTGTTAGCATTAGACCTGAGATTTACAAGTTTAGCGTGAACACTATGTACAAATTTTTTAAAGTTGCATGCAATTAGGTCTACGATAAATATGTAAACCCAGTCTATCTAGGGATGTCTTTTTTAGTTTCATATTGATAACAATTTCTGATATAAAGATAAATCATTCTATTAGTATTTTCATTTTGCTAAATTAAAAATTTTATATTATTTCGCAAGTTTTGTAGTCTATTTGTTCCGCATCCGGAATTAGCATGTGAAATGAAGTAGCTCGTTTTAGATCGGCATCCATTTACCGATTAAAAAAAAGGCGAAAAAAATAAAAATAAATTTAAGAAATAAAAAGTGAATTATTATATACTCTCTTAACGTTAATTGAAAGATAAATTTTCATACATTAAACAAATGCATTCAAATAATAATATATAATTTAGAGCGAATTTATTTGTCACCGGCGGTGACAGTACCGGAGTGTGATCGACCAATTAGATCACAGGATCATGTGTAACGTGAAAAAGGTAAAAACTTTGATTTTTTAAAAAATCGCCGTTATCTCGAAATTTCATCTATGAAACCACATTTTGCATTCTAACAAAAAAAATTCCTTGCAAAATTTTACTATATGCTATGACCTACGCGAACCATAACTATGATTCTAACCCAACCCTAATGATAGTAAGTTTTGACGCATTGTTTTTGTTTTGATTATAACGTATTTGTTGATCACACTCCGGTACTGTCACCACCGGCGACAAACACATTATTTCTATAATTTAACTATGTAATTAAAAGTTTTTGTATTTCTCACGTAGAAGCATTCGCATTTTCTTGAACATAATGAATTTCTTTTCCTGCAAGAACATGATTTGGTGCCGCAATTTGTTTTTCAGCAACGACAGGTTTCTTGTTGGGTGTCTTGAACCAATATTATTATTCGTAACACTAATGGGTTTGGGTCAAAACCCCGACAAGCGAAATCCCGACAGGTCATAATCCTGATAAAAAAATCCCGACATCCCGACTAGGGATGGGTTTGGTCGGTCACGGTCGGTTATTATCGGTTATTTTATGACTGATCGTGACCGACCGGTTATGACCGATAAAATAAAAAAACGTAACATTTTCAGGATTTTCCGTCTTATCGGGCTGATCCGTGTCGATCTTTGTCTTATTGGGGGGGGGACATCTAAAGCAGAGATAAATTATATATAGTATTTATTGAATTAACTTTAGGGTTAGGATCATCTTAGGTTAGGGGTTAGGTTAGGTTTTAGGTAGTTATATATATGTAAAATTGCCTTCCCGGCATTTTTGCTTAACCTACCCAAGGCAGGTTTTGACTGCCGTTTTTTGTATTTTTTAAGTTTTTTATTTTTCTTTCTTGTATTGCTTCGCCGGTGATCATCAAAATTCTATAATTTGATTGGCCGATAGTCACATGATTTATCTCTGCTTTAGAATCTTCCCCAGTATCGCCATAAAAATTTTGCAGTCACATGTGGCACAAACGATTTTGATTGGCTATACTATATGAAGATCGTTTTTAAATTTTAATTTTTTTTAAGCTTCTAGCGATTGTTTCCCAACAATTACCAGGTCAAAATCAAGAATTTTTTTTTTTGTTTTAATTCTGTTAACATGTAGAATGAAAATAAAAAAAAATTTATTGGGATTGGTTTGGTAGTTGTCAAGAAAAACTAGTATACATTTTCAAAAAATGTTAAATATCAAAAGGCCAAAATCGTATTTTTTAAACTTCAAGCAATTTCTCAATAATTACTATACTAAATTTGATAAAAAAATTTTTATTTTAATTCTACAATATTGTAGAATCAAAATAAAAAAAAAATTAATTGAATTCTATTGTGTAGTAGTTGAAACATCTTCGCTTAAAATTTAAACAAACTTGCTGCAGCTTGACGTTCTAAACTATACCTTTAAATGAAGATATCTCAACAACCACCTAATAAAATTTTTTTATTTTAATTCTACATCATTAAAAATATTTCATTGGTCGTAATTAATGTATTGTTTTTGAACTTGAAATATATTGATTAATATCCTGTTTTTAACTGCTCGAAAAATATACAATTTTAATGTATTGTGTTAAATGTATATAAGCTAAAAGAATTTATTTCAAAGTTTAGTATTTTAAAAGATTAGCATATGTATATTTGATACTATATCTTTTACATTTATAATCGGATGTAAACTCGCTATAATGTCTAACTTGCTAAAAGAGAAAAAAACACTAAACTTGTATCCTTGACTATTTTTTATTACTATCCTTAATCTATTGGTTTTCGCTACCATTTGTTTTAGTTGTCGTTACTCATTCAGATTAGTTTTGAAAAGTAAAAATTAAAATTTTATGAAAGTGCTAGTTTAAAAATCGTGTGTTGTGAGTATGACTTTTAAAAGTAAAAGGCATTGTTCTTCTTCGCCGATACTGTTCCACCTCTTCCACCATTTTAATAATTTGACTAAAGTTTTTCTTTACTCCATTTACCCAATGCAAGTTATTAGCCGCTTTTTGTTCTTGCAGAAGAGCAAGCGCTTTGGTCGTTGATTCTATTAATTCATCATAGAGAGTATATTGATTATCATTATCATTAACAATTTGCATCATATCTTCTGTTAAATTATCATTATCTTTATTAGCAACTTGCATCACATGCACTGTTGAATTATCGTTTTGGTTATTGTTATCATTAACAATTTGCATCACATCTTCTGTTAAATTATCATTATCTTTATTAGCAACTTGCATCACATGCACTGTTGAATTATCGTTATTAAAAATTGGCTGATTTACATGCAGATTAGTCAAAAATGGTGGTTGGTGATTCTTTTTCAAGTCTTTAAAGAAATTGCTATCATCAATCGGTCCTTTTTTGTAAACTAAGTGTTTGCACAAATTAAATTGACTAATTAAAAAGTATGTGCACCCGCATGTTCATTTATCAACATCAGTTACATATTCATTTTCAATAGGACGTACAGATAATTTTTTCCACTCAGACTTTATTTGCTTAATCCATTGTGGTGCTTCTCTACCCAATTGAATCTGTTGAAATTTTCTCCATTGATGAGAAATTACTTTCGTCATTAGCACATAAGCAACAAGATCTAAATGCAGTCAAAAAAATTTATACAAAAAATTTCTCTTGATCACTTTCCAGTGACCTTCGATAAACATTGTTGTTTTTAGAATAGAGATTTTTTTCCTCATATGCAGATCGTGCCCATAAGGGCCAACGCTTGTCAGTATACCATTCGCACTATAAGTATTCCCAGAGTGAAATTAAAGTGTGTTTCTTACAAAATTTGTACATATCTTTGATTGCTTCCTCCCGGATTGTTACACTTGTTAAAAACTGACCAGAGTTTGTAGGAATCAATGGATGTTGATGAAGGTGTTTCTCCATTATTTGCCAAACAGTGTGACGCAGTTCTTTTGAACAAAAATGGCCTGATTTGCATTGGGTATTCTCATTAACGTTAAATGGAAAACAGGAGCCAAATTCAGATAAGTGATTATATTGGCTACTTCTAGTTGACTTATTATTAGCCAATCTTGTTTTAATCGCTTTTTGTATATGCCATTTGCATATTTGTATTTTTACACCTCTCCAAGTAAATTTCGCTGTATTTATCTGTGAAAAGTCTTTGTTGATATGAAAAAATTCTGGACAAAATCCTGCATCACGTAACTTTGTAAGAAAATTTTGAATTATAGCAGTTTGAATTCCTTCACCACATTGACCATTGTGTTCCAGAAACATGTAGGCAAGAGGAAAACCCGTCCCATTCATCTCAGCATGAAGCACATACAATTCAAATCCAAAATTATTAGTATTGTATGTGGTGTCTATTCCACATTCATGAATTTTTATTTTCTTCTCCTTAAAATATTCATAAAATTTAGTCGTAAACACAATAGCACGAGGTGAAGTCTCTTCTAAAATAATATTGTTGTATTTATCCTTTAGCCATCTAACCACTGACTCAAATGAATCTTCATGTCTTTTATATCTATGTTGCCCAATTGTAACCACCAGAAATGTATCTGGTTTTGACGAATAGACAAATCTAAACCTTTAGCTACAAGTTGAGTATAGATCTCTCTTGGTAGTAAATCAATATTATCCTTTATAAAATTTTTCACCTCCTGAGGTACTGTAGTTTTGATTGGGTTTTTATGCAAAAAATCATGCTGCACTGATAATTTTGCAATATTATTTGTCTTATCGATAACGATCTTTACGACTCCATTACAGTTGAACCTATCCATTGCTGGTTTGTCCCATTGCTTCAATACATATTGATGCTTTTTACACTTGCTTGCTAATTCTTTTCTTTGAGAACAATAGTACCAGTAAGTTACCGAACGTTTTCCTGAATAACACTGATGATATATCCATGCAAAACTATCCACGTCTTCAACAGACTCAGCTAAGTAATCGGCTATTTCTTTTGTTATACTATCAAGCATTGACACATTTACTGAACATTCAAAATAAAATTTTGATAAATTTTCTTTGTCTTCAAATTGCGTCGAATAAAGATCTGAAAGCTGGGTTATATAATCGGATAATTCAGTTGGTTCAAGTATGTCCAAAGAGTTTAAATCTTCATAATCTTCTTCATTCTCTTCTGTTTCAAATGTTCTTTTTTTGGCTGTTTTATATTGCTGAACAGTTTTATTATGACAATTTTTACAGGTACTAAGTTTTACAACATGGTTATTCTTGTCATAATCCATAAAGTCACTTAATTCTTTTATAACCCCGCATCTAGTACACATATTAGTTGTAACATCCAGATTAAAAGAGGGTTCTATTTTATCTTGTATACTGGGTGTGTATTATTAAGAATATTAAAAGAAAAAAAATTGGGAAAGAATCACGTATTAATGATTTGCAAATTTTCTCGCATTAATAGTTATTTTGCTAATCGAAGTTTTAACAAGTCTACTTGGTGCATCAATTATAATACAATATTTAATATAATGCACTTCTAACATAATTATTCTGAAAGAATAAATATCTGACTTGGGTGTATTTCGGTATATACATTTCTAAAGCAATATAGCCAAAAATTCTTTGAATTTGAAAAAAATTCTCACAAATTTGGGCTAGTAGTTATTGAGAAATTGTTGTATAAAGTTTAAAAAATACAATTTTGGCATTTTCTAAGAAGTTTATCATTTTTTTAAAAATTTATACAAATTTTTCTTGACAACTACCAAACCAATCTTAATAAACTTTTTTTTATTTTCATTGTACATGTTTACAGGATTAAAATAAAAAAAAAATTCTTGATTTTGACCTGGTAATTGTTGAGAAACAATCGCTAGAAGCTTAAAAAAAATTAAAATTTAAAAACGATCTTCATATAGTATAGCCAATCAAAATCGTTTGTGCCACATGTGACTGCAAAATTTTTATGGCGATACTGGGGAAGATCCGCTTTAGACGACCTCTTATTGGGCTGATCAGTGTTGATCTTTGTCTTATCGGGCTGATCCACATCGATCTGTTTATTTTTTTCATAGTATCAGTCAACCGGTCAGCTAAGCCGCTCTGACCGGTCAGAATCGGTTACGGTCAATAACCGTGGCTAAACGGTCATAACCATAACCAGACCCATCCCTAATCCCGACAATTAAAAATTTTGATAAAAAAAATATCATAAACCATAGCTAACCCAAGCCTAATGCTCATCTAAAATGACCTAGCCCTAAAGTTAATTAAATTATAAGAGTCTACTTCACTTTAAACATATTCCATATTTGGGATTTCTATCCGATTGTCAAGATTTTTAATTGTCAGGATTTTTGACTGTTGGGGTTTTTTTGTCGGGATTATGACCTGTCGGGATTTTGACTGGCACCCACACTTATACATGGGTGTCTAAATTATTTTACTCTTGTCGTAAATTTAAATGACTAAATTATTTTAGACAGTCTAAATCGT